CCCCAAAACCCCAAAACCCCAAAACCCCATTATTAATATTCATATTGATTTTTCAATCAATATTAACAGTGATAGCCGAAATCCAAAACGAGCTCACTATAAAAATTTAAGCCAGCTAAATAATGACTCCAAAAGCCTGTGAAGTCATTCTTTGAGTGTAGATCATCAGGAGAAATAGGATAGTTGTCACTTTCGATACTATAATAAGAATGTCTTCATAGTTTCTGATTCCAACCAAGAAGTCTCACCAACTAAACATCTATAAAATCATTTGATATTCTAAGAGAGAACTTAGCCTATTTATATACGAAGAAACCCAATTTGGAGAAAAAGTTTGACAAGATAGAGACTTTATTAATGACGATTCAGAGATTCAGCAAACCAGCATTGAAAGAAATAGAAACTGTGAGAATTTAGGGTTGTGATGAACTTTCATCAAGAGGTAGAAGCCAATTGAGAGACAGAGATATTTACTTTGAAACTTTAAAAGAATTAATTTAATCTATCTCTGAAAGCGGAAGCCTCGAACACTCCTCCGTTCTGGTTGAAGCTCTCCAGCATTTCCAAGATATCTTCGGCTCTCCATGAAAAGTTGGTCGGAGCCTAGTTGTTGTGCAGCATCAGTGAGTAGAAGTCGAAGGTAATCGCTGCATCGACTTCGAGAGTGTATCTACCAACATAAGTCTTCTTGCCTTCGACTATGATCACTGTCTGATAATTCACCGAGTTCTTGGTCACGCATATGAATCTGGTTCTCCTCTTGCTGACTCTTTTAGTTTTGCAAACATTGGCTTTCTTCTTTGCTTGTACAAAAGGTAGTCCTGTGTCGAGTAGTACGAGAGCTTGGTCTTCAGTTTTTCTTGGTCTTTCTAGAAGTCATATGTGTGAATTGCCTTGACTTGATTCTGATGTTTATATTGAGACCTCTCAGAAACAGGCATCATTTGCTGCAACTGGTTTTGGAGCTCACAAAGGCAGAAGCCATTGAAAATATTGAAGATTGGATTCATTTAATTATGATAAAACCTCTCTATATTTATATGCTATCTCGGGGTTTTGGGGTTTTGGGGTTTTGGGGTTTTGGGG